CAACTGACTTTCATTCCTCTTCTCTCCAGAGCATACCTCCACCTCTTACAGACTCTCTTCCACCTCCTCTCACCACAGATCACAATGCTGTCTGTAAACACTGTTCACAGAGACTTCTGACCTCATCTGTCCATCAGCAGTTCAAGACAGAAGACGTTCAGAGGAAATCCCTGAACCCACCCATCACTCCTACTGCACACGTTCCCACCTCTCTTCAACAAGTCTTTCCCATACCTCCATGTCATGGCTCATCAACTCTATCCCTGTGTAGCGACTGCAGTTCTGCATTTCACCTTTGTTCTCAAAAGTTGGCATTCTCACATTCTCCAAGATTGTTTAACACAATCTGATTAAAAAGTCCACTTGGAGACTCAGTCCCACAAAGGGGGTTATTGTCTCGATAAGTTAAACCAGGGTTTCACAACATAGCTGTGAGCGTGTTCATGTGAAAGAGTCAGTGTTGGGAGCATTTGATTTATCAAACATTGACGGGTTTGCTGGCAGCAGTGTGCCTGATTTTATAAAGTTAGATAAAACTATCGTATTAGAATAAATATAAAGATGTTAAAACACAAAATACAGGCTGGAAGTAACACAGCTGAAGGCGAGTCCACTACATGTTTGGGTACGTGTGTGAGGAAAAGCATGAATGTCAAAGTACTTTAACCACTTTGGCCAGTAAGACTGGAGAAAAATCTAGTATATTAATAAAGTTTAGCCTATTAGAAATCAGGATGTAAATCTGACAAACAGACTGTCATTAGGGGAGGTTAATTTTTTAAATACGACAGCCACAGGCCCAGAATTCAGACATAGGCTTAGTCTATGTGCAAATTTGATATAAGTTCAACAAGTATAAACATGTGATTTACAATCATATACATGGTATATACAACAATAAAACTGTTATAAAAAGGGTTTTTAGCCAAAAGGAAAAACCAGGAAATGCTCATCAGGAAAAGAAAAAACCTTAAGACACCTTAGAACCTCTTATTATTCACACACAGATGTTCAAGGGATTTCCAGGAATAATTCTGTTTTCTGGAGAACTAACTGATCAGTAGCTGGTGAATTAAAACCTGTTAATCTCTAATCTCAAACTGCTTCGGAGCTGGTTACGTCTGCAGTATATGTTACCATGGTGATCTACACCGTTAAGCAATTAATCACCTTTGTAACTCTTAAAACACCGTTAACCCCAAAGCCTGCTTTGTAAACAAAAGGCCTCAGGCGTGTCACGGCATCCTCCACCTTTGGATCTAAGCCTCCTGTTTATCCAGTGAAACATTTCAATGTCTACTACATGCAGCACCATCCAGTGTCCGCAGCAGGCTGACATTTTATGAAGGTAACTAGGTAAGGTACTTACCTTTAATTCGCAGTAAAGTGTCAGCAGACAGACAATAGGTGTTTTAATATAAGTCTTTGTTTAGATCAAGAAGGATCCCTAACCAGTGATGAATCTACATGTTGGACTTGCAGGTCTCTCCATCTCGCCTAAGAGGAGGAAATCTTTCTGCAAACAGTTGCAGTCTGACTTGGACTGGCTGCAACCACTCTCAGAGACATTGTCAAAGGTTTGCAAATCATTCCTATGCCATCTATAAATGTAGACAAATTCATCATGTTGTCATCGGTCTGACTCACAATTTCGAGGGAACTTGACTCTTATAGAAGAGGAAGGTTGCTTAGCACAAAGTTAATAGTTAAATGTGATTTTTTTGGTGGCCAAAAGGAAAACAAAAACAAGCCAATTTCGAAGAATTAAAACCGGAAAATGCCGGAATAACAAGAAACCAATGCCGGGAACCCAATCCAAAAGGTAACATTTATGGCAGGTTTTGGTTACAGTGTTGGCATGCTTGACAATTTCATTTGGAGCAAAGAAAATACATAAATAATTGAAGTGAGATAACTTTATCTTTGGATAGAACAATAACTTTGAGGACATAGTTTGCACTTAGAAAAAAGGTGATAAATCATAATACATGTCAGTGCAATACTCTGCACATCATACAACGTTAATTAATATAACATGAATAGTATTGTGATAATATGATATTGTGGGGTGTCTGGTGAATCCCATCTTTACTAGCGAAGGTTTAAGAAGCGATTTTAGAGAGAAAAACTCTGACATTTATGTCTAAAACAAGAGTAATGGGGAATAGATCGTATAAAATAGTATATTTTGGTGCCGACCTAAAAGGAAATTCAGTTTTATTTATCAAATGGTAACTATCTGGGATTCAAAGTAAAGCTTTGTACCGTGATGAAGTGTGTTATCTACTGTTTTGACTGTAACCGAGCTCCATGCTGTACGCAAACACACACGAGCCCAATTCATTTATATTAAGAGGCACAGCATTACTGTGGTCACTGACTCCTGCTGTGACACATGAAAACCTATATCTATAAGATTTTACTTGAAAAGAAATTGGCAGGCTACATTTAAGATAAAAATCTGTAAAAGGTACTTGCATTTGTCAGTACGTTTATACCTTATTTAATGATTTCTTAAAGTTTCTTAAAAGCAGTTTATTTGGTATAAGTGTAAATGCAGTGTCAGTAACATTACAATGCTCAATAGTTTCCTTCACTTAGAGATTTCACCTTTTATGCTGCCTGCCACTGTCATGAGGTTATGACTAAAACATGGCTAGTGGGACATGTGCACGTTTCTAGGTTTTGAAACGAATAAACTCTGTGTAATGCAGTTATTATAACAGCTGCTTTCCAAATTAGCCAAGCCCATATTAAGCTGTATTGAAGAATAAAGCCTTGAAATCTGTTTTAATTTCCAGAAACTTTGAGTAAAGGCGTTCTGAGGACAAGGCCTCAAGTGCACTGTGGTTATGCAAAA